ATTTCCATTTTGTTTACATAATTTTTCAAAAATCTATTAATTACTGTGGATATGAAAAATAAAATAGAAATTATTTGACAATAAAATATTAAGCAAATATTTAAGATAACTGACTATGTACTGTGTGGAACAGAAAATGTATTGCTGAAACATTGTGGACAGACGCTTTATAAGTTTTAGGGGTCATTTATTCTGAGGTCTAAAAAAACACAAGAGGTCGCTAACAAGAGAAATTTTTATGACTTATTGACCCACCATTATTCATGGCTGTAATGATGTGTGTATGTGAGTGTAACGTCCTTCCATACGTGCTGCCTGATGTCCCTTTGGGCTTCATTTTCCATTCTTCTTCTGTCCTGATGGTGAAGGCAGTGATCCCTGTCATTAATGGCCAATGATATAAAATTGTGGTCAGGTTTTATGAGCTCTCATGTAAATTGGATGCTGGGGCTCGTAAATGTGGTCATTGGGTCTTAGGTGAATGACAGTGATTGCGGAAATGAACGTATGAGGTCTGCCCTCAAGGTCCTGCTGGATGGCAAATGCATAAACCCAGTCAGGACGCCCACAGACACTTAAATCTACTCATGTGCTCATGCAAATACACTTTATCTCTCTTTCCATCCCACAGACTCTCTCACTCTATCCAATTTTTGTCTTTCTTCCAATGCAAGTGATTTATTATTTCATTTTGCTTAACATATGCATACCTAAAATTAATTTCAGGGAGGTACGCTGACCCATCTGGGGGAGCTGTTGATTTATACAGATGAAATGATTGCTTTCAAAATGACCTCAAGTCACTGACTGAAAAGGGAAATTGTCATGATTTTTTAATGCATTTGTTTGTTTGCTTGCTTCGTGGCACAAATATATTGTTCTGGTTATGAATGCAATTACATATTATGGATTAGGGCAATAAAACATTTTAGCAGGATTGAATTTACACAGCCGTAGTCCTTTATAAGCCAGAGACAAATTGAGTCGGTACTTAAGGCCTAAATAGAAGCGTTAATGAATATTAAATACAAGAAAACACGTTGCAAAATATATGAGGGTAAAGCAAAGGATGCTTATTGTGTTGTTTGGATAAAGCAGTGCAGTCATCTTTCTTCTATAATGAATAGCTTGATTAATGTGTCATGAATAGCCAGTATTAACTTTCATTATCTTGGTGTTACAAATAGCTAGTGTCTGGTTTATGAAGCAACATCCAACTTCATCCATAACTTCAATAAATAAAACATAACTTCAACTTGACTGAAAAGCTAAAGCATATTTTATAGCTGGTGTGATGAGGTAAACATCTTTACACATTTAGGAGTGATAATGAAAAATAGCCTGTCATGCAAGACAAATTATTTCTGCAAAATCAGGAAAACAACTATTATCAGTATGAATACAAACTGAACTCTTGTTTACATTTAGCCAAGTTAATGCCTGTCCTTTTAAAAAGATGACAGTGATTTGATTGACTTTTCTTCTTTTTTAATGAGAATAAATTTAAGCTTTAATAAATAAATATAGTCACTCATCATCACGGTGTCTCAAGGTTTCCAGGTGCAATAGCAACAGAAAAATCCCGTCAAAAATCCCACTCCCATTGGCATCAAAAGACAAGGAAATGAGCAGTGCTTTCCAGTCTGCAATGAACACAGCAGATAAGACAGACAATAGGACCCAATCACACTGCTCTCCACAATAGACCCTCATGAGGTTCCCTGGAGCAGATGGATCATTTGCATAGACACAGGCAGGCTGCGATTGTGTTAGGTATTAGGTGTATTAAAAATATCACCACAGGAAAAGTGATCATAAGCTGCTTCAGATCTCTATTCAAAGAGACGATTTTTTTAATGGTCATAAATGAAGTCTATTGAGCTGGATAAATAACATAAGAGAATGGTTAACTTTTTAGCATCTCTTCATTAAAATAATGTATGGTAGTATTTAGATATGTACTGCACCACAAAAACAGCATTGGGGTGTTACTCACTAAAAGTAGGTAATATCTTATGTAGTTTGGCAGTACTTTGTGAATTGATTCATCCTAAATCTTCCCTTTTCTCAAATGAGTAGAGTTAGTAAGTATAACTCATTTTTAGTGACTCGGTTCACCCTCAACAGTTTTGTCTCTCTCATATGATCCAACTGCTGGGTCAAAACAACCCAATAGCTGGGTTTGTCGATATTTCACCCAGCGCTGGGTTGATTTTAAACCAGCATTTTTTAAAGTGTAGCTTTAGTGTAATTAGATGTCTTTTGTTAGTAGTAGCTTATGTAGTGTTGCTAGCACTGATCTGTGGATATTTTGATATTTATCGTAAGAAGACCAAATGAATGATTGGAGTCGAGTGTGCCAGTGAAAGGTCCCTTGACCCAAAACCTTATAATGTTTATTGACTCACCTACCACTTTAATTTCCCCAACAATATGAGCTTCGGACAGCCTGGCTATCCATCAGTGTCTGGCAGCTCAGCTCGGCTCTGAAATATGTGCTACCAAAGCATGTTGGAAAACTAATACCTGGTCTGTAGTGTAGTTATTGTGTAGTTTACTGTGATCAGATCATATTCTGATAACAAACACATTTATGAATTCTGGATCAGATTGTTATAGTTAACTAAATAATAAATAAATTGCTACTTGAAATAAAATAAATGTTAAAGGATTAGTTCACTCCTTAATTAAAATTTCCAGATAATTTACTCACCCCCTATGTCATCCAAGATATTTGTCTTTCTTTCTATGAAAAGAAATTAAGGTTTTTGAGGAAAACATTCCAGGATTTTTCTCCATATAGTGGACTTCAGTGGGGATCAACGAGTTGAAAATCCATGGACACGCATCACAGCGCTACTGCAAGACAAGCATTTGTGGTTAAAAAGTATATACATTTAAATGTAAAAAATTAAATAAAAAATTGACAGATCGTTCTGCTAGATAAGACCCTTATTCCTCGGCTGGGATTGTGTAGAGCCCTTTGAAGCTGCATTGAAACTGCAATTTGGACCTTCAACTCGTTGATCCCCATTGACGTCCACTATTTGGAGGAATATCCTGGAATGTTTTCCTCAATTTCCTCCTTAATTTCTTTTCGACTGAAGAAAGAAAGACATGAACATCTTGAATGGCATGGGGGTGAGTAAATGATCAGGATATTTTAATTGTGGAGTCAACTAATCCTTTAACTGAAATAAAATAATTTAACTAAATACTTTAAAATGGAAGCAGACAATAAAAACTAACCAAAAATATTAATAAAAACTATAATAGATACTAAAATAACTACAATGATGCTAAAATAACACTATTCTCGATGAGCTACATCATTTTAAAGAAAATAATTGATTGCAATACTTGGATTAGAAGTACAGAAATGGATGAAGCTAATTTCACTTTAGATTTAGAATTTCCTCCTTTTCTAAGATATATATATATGTGAAGAGTTTATTTGATTCAAAAATCATGTTTTTTATTATGTTATCAGGTTTTTATTGTGTTTTATTGGGTAAGTTAGCTGTATTTTTTGTTATTTTTTAACCTAATCAAAATAACCCAACTGCAGATCGATTGAGATTAATTGGAATGCACAATGAAAAAACATGATTTTGAAAAAAAAATATTAAAAGCAGAGTTATCTGTTTTTGCAAATGAACCTTCTCTGCACAAATTAATCCAAAAAGAAAAAAAGGAAATTACATAAACACCCTTCAATTTCTACTACATGTAAGACACACCTCACTCAAAAGTAGTACTCCAAATCAACGGTTAATATCACTGCAAACATAACCCTCATGCAAATAAATAATGCAGGTGTTTCAAAGCATCAACATGTATAAAGGGTACAAAGGTTGGCTGGCAACACGAGGCTGGGAGTGATGTACAAATAAGAAAAACAAACAAACAAGAAAGAAAAGAAAATACTCTGCTAGCCAGTCCGATTCTCAACAATCATCAAATCTTAATTGCGCTGGAAGCATACAGCGCGCACATACAAGGAACGGCTGACTGAGGAAATACAACATAACAAACACTGGAGGAACAGCGATCAACTAAACCTAATACAACAAAACAAATAAGCAAACACAAAACACAATTAACAACATTCAAGGAAAGATGACTAATTGTTCATTTTTATTTTAATCTCATTAAAATAATAAAAGCAAAACGCTTACAAATCCTACATAAAAACCTCTACAATTGACTTTTACCTTACCGTTTAATGTCAAATATTAGTTTAAGTTAACGCTAACTAACGATTAAAAGTGATATTATTGGTAAAATTAAAGCCAACGTAGCCTTAAAACACATAGTAGGCATGACTACAGCACTTATTTAATTTCATATTAACAACACGGTCTCCGGTGGGGGATGCAGCTGTCGTGGGGTGCTCGCGTTATCAGCAGCAGGGATGCTAGTGCATTTGATAGCACTGGCTCATCTGTTACTAGCAGCACCTGCTAACATCACCGCCACTGTAACAACATTTAGGATGGACGTGTTTAAAAACGCAGATACGTAGGTAATAATTAGTTGCACAAATGCCCTCAGTTATATTTTTAGATTGCACAGATTAAATTTCGGGATCATATGCGATCGAAACGGTCGCAATTTCAAGCCTTCAGGCAATAGTTGTGCGGGCAAATAAGTGAAAGTAAGATGTGGTGTTTTATGGACAGCAGGCAACACAAGCTAGCCGTGTGCCTTTGACAGGACTCTGGAATCAGAGATCATGTTAGTATACTTTTGCATTACTAAAGCAGATGCACAGATTTGACTGTATAGATGTATGCTTGGTAGTCTGTCTGATTTTAGAGATTTGATCCACGTTTTTTTAATGCTGTATAGTCAATTAATGACAGATTGTTGGTTGAAAAAACCCTAAAACTATTTCTAACCTATTACTTAAATAAGTTACATTTACCACTGATTTTTAACCTTATTCTAACATGCATTTTCCTGGTCTTTAGATACCCAAGCGCTTTTGTTACCTGAGGCTTCAAGCTTCACATCCAGGTAAGAAAAACTTCAGAATAGATACAATTACATCTATAACTATTCCTAGGTAAGTAAAACATAGGTCAAATTGCTAACAATAGTGTGGGCTCCATACAATTACATTTCTGAAGATTGATCAGATTTTACTTTTTGATAGGATCCATCTGCCTCTGTGGAGAAAAGGAGAGAAGTGGTCCTGAGATGCCTGATTGAGTACATGGGGGAGAGACAGGAAGACCTCATCAGTGTCCACCACGTATGTATTGGGCTTAAAGCTACTTGTCTATTTTTCTGTCTGTATGTATTAATATTGTGATGATATGGGGTAATTACGTTTGCTCTTGAACAATATTTAAACTCTGTAGCTTAATAAACAGTAATGTGATGGCCAATCAGGTACAGGCAAAGACAATTGCATTGTTTTATTGTAATGCATCCTTTGAACCAGAAAAAGACAACACTCATGCTACAGTAGATCATGATAGTTTAGTACCCACACTCTATGGCATTGTCACGGTAGACTTCACTCTGGTCACATGCTCTAGTCACAGTATCCATCTAGTATCCACCACCTTTAGCAACAAAAGTAGAATTTTTCTACCTGATCTGTCTTCTACCAGTCTGCTATATTCATCTCATTACCTGTTTGTCTGACCAAACTCTTGATTCTTTTTTGTCTCCACCAATAGAGTCGTGATGAAACAGAGGTGCACGCTGAGCTTGGCAGTTGCCCACTGAAAATTTACATGTGCCATCAGCCCGACACGATTGGGATTATCATAGAAGGACAGCCCGTGGTCAGAGGTGTGCCAAACCTGTCGAAAGCATGCTGCCTCCTGTTTGGACTTACCTATGCCATCGACCTCAAGTATCCCTCAAAACTGGTGTATACTTTTGAGATATATCAGAGGCTCTTTGTGGGATTGGACCCCAGATAGTGTGAGATCTTGTAGTACAGTGGTGTATGTATAGTAGGACCTTTTACAGCAATTTAATGGTTGAAATACAGAGGTTCTGTGGTTTGTGTGTGTATATCAGGCTGTGAAGTTTGATCAGATTTTACTTTTTGACAGGATCCATCTGCCTCTGTGGAGAAATGAGAGAAGTGGTCCTGAGATGCCTGATTGAGTACATGGGGAGAGACAGGAAGACCTCATCAGTGTCCACCACGTATGTATTGGGCTTAAAGCTACTTGTCTATTTTTCTGTCTGTATGTATTAATATTGTGATGATATGGGGTAATTACGTTTGCTCTTGAACGATATTTAAACTCTGTAGCTTAATAAACAGTAATGTGATGGCCAATCAGGTACAGGCAAAGACAATTGCATTGTTTTATTGTAATGCATCCTTTGAACCAGAAAAAGACAACACTCATGCTACAAGTAGATCATGATAGTTTAGTACCCACACTCTATGGCATTGTCATGGTAGACTTCACTCTGGTCACATGCTCTAGTCACAGTATCCGTCTAGTATCCACCACCTTTAGCAACAAAAGTAGAATTTTGACTTTGTGTCTTATCTGTCTTCTACCTGTCTGCTATATTCATCTCATTACCTGTTTGTCTGACCAAACTCTTGATTCTTTTTTGTCTCCACCAATAGAGTCGTGATGAAACAGAGGTGCACGCTGAGCTTGGCAGTTGCCCACTGAAAATTTACATGTGCCATCAGCCCGACACGATTGGGATTATCATAGAAGGACAGCCCATGGTCAGAGGTGTGCCAAACCTGTCGAAAGAATGCTGCCTCCTGTTTGGACTTACCTATGCCCTCGACCTCAAGTATCCCTCAAAACTGGTGTATACTTTTGAGATATATCAGAGGCTCTTTGAGGGATTGGACCCCATGCGTCCTAAGCCATCATCCAAGTATGCAAATCTCCTCACCAAGTTGTCTTAGAAGATTTCTCAATGGCATCTGGCATTGTTTGCCATCATTTGAAAAAATGCAATCACTTTGGTAGGTGAGTTGACCAAATACCAACTTAAACGTACTGTAACATAATCAGATAATTTGATAATCTTCAGGGTGATATAAATATTTGTCTCTGAATTTTACCAGTATTTTGATTTAAAATAATTAGTCTTACAGATTTTCTTTTTTTGTTTGTTTTTGACCTTAAGACTCATTTGACAGGTACAAGTTGCTCAGGTAATATAATTTCCATGGTTATATTCCTTTTGTGTTCATTGTTCAGTGCCTTAATTAATGTGGACTTTGGACTGTTCTGTGCCGATCATTACCTCATGAGGTATATACTCAACAGTGTTGTGTGCACAATTTGACAAAGTCTGTTTATGTAAAGTTAATCACTGTAGTGCTTAGAATATAGACATTTAGATTTCTTTTCTGAGGTTATAGCCAGGACTCAATTAAAATGTTTATTCACATATGATTAGGTTAATTTTACTAAGAACATAAAGTTCATAAAACCTAATTAAAATGAGTACAGGTTACTTGTAGCAACCCATAAATATGTTACCTGTTCCAAGAAAAGTAGGTTTATATAACTGAGTAATACTAGTACTATTAGTTAACTCAACTTGATTTTGTTGCGTTTGTATTAAGTAATGTTACAGTGTTTATTATACTTAAAAAAGGCTGCAAGTTGACTCGACTTACAACATCCAATGCAGCCACTTGCCTCACTTTTTATAAGTTAGATCTAGGTATTACTTTTTAGTGTACACACACACAAAATACAGAACAGTTACAGCTTTCCCAACCCAACCTACACAATAAAATTAATATAATAATAATTAAATTCAAAATAAAATTAAATAAAATAAAAAAGATAAATAATAATAAAAATAAGTAAATTTTAGATATAAGTACAGTATTATTGTTTATAACAAAAAGAAAGTCAGATAAATAGATAGATAGATAGATAATATAAGCATTTACACATCATAAGCATTTACACAGCTACACATGGGCACAAACCTGATGCAGCTTTTCATGGCAGTCAGCACTAATCATACCGCAGGCTTTAGAGGAAGAGCTGCATGGATATCTGTCCATCATTTCTTTGTCACTGATTGAGAGTCATCCTGTCCCTCCTCTAGCGGTGGAACAAAATCTGATAATGAGAGAACGAGTGTGGCAGTGAGGTAGGGCTGAGCTTTCAGCAGATGAATAAAACATGCCTTGCTCACAGAAAATGTGATATATGCCTAATCTGCCTAACCCTGCATTTGTCATAATCAAAGCAAACAATTGTGAACATGCAGTCGTTCATGGTTGCAGTATATCATACTATGTTGCATAAGAGTATAACATAACCTATTTATGATCTGGATTAAGCCTGGGACATGTGCAATCTTCAGCATCATGTTTTATGAGAACACAGGTTTGCCATTTCATGGTGTCACACCGTATTTATTTCTCATTAAAAGCATCTAATAGCTCTTGCCTAAAAATCCATAACCTTAACCTTGTCGTTATGCACATTATCAGCAGTTTCAAGCCCATCAAAAGAAATAGCAGCTGTGTACTCCTCTCATTATCTGTGCTGAACTTGCAGTCCCAGTCTTATCAATTCATGACACTGTCTCAGTCCATAACAAATGAGTTCTTTACACCACACAGCATGGGCATAATTAGTTTTGTCTTGATTGATTGAATGGTGCCTTATTACTACACTTGTTTTACAATAGCACAGCACTGTAATTCATTAAACTTGTCAATACTTCATATCTTTGATGTGGTGGACAAGCCTATTGTTAAATATAATGGTATGTTGCTAATTTACCTATTATGAAATATGGAGTATTATATAAACAAAAGGCAATTGACCAAAATGTCACATCATGTTGTACATACTCAGATTTTACTTTAAATAAAAGCAGGATATCTTAATGAGTTTAACAATCATAGGCATCATGTTGCCTTTCACAGAATATATCAGGCATATTTAAAACAACATTTAATAATTTACTTTAATACTAAATAAAATAGTTTTTGTAAAATGATATATTTATATTATTTAGCTGAACCCAAATTGAATAATGACACTCAAGTAGCCCGTGGGTTATGATAAATAATGAAGGTAATGAAAAATATAAGTCTAATTTTTATAAAAGTGTTAAATAATTAATTATAAGTCCATTAATTATAATAAATATTAAATACCTCAAACACACAACATGCCACTTAGGGGACTTCTGTCCTAATTATGAGGAGATCTGTTGTACCCTAAAGGTCTAAATTACCTTTTCACATGAAAATAAAAACAATATTTGTACTTTATGAATTTTTAATTCAATTTTAATATCCAGAATAATATAAATACACAGTTCACTATTATCCAGTAAGATATAAATACAATAAGATGAGGGTTTGTAAATGATGAATTCTAATTTTGGGGTAAACTATACAGTAAATGTTCAGTTGAAATTGCAAAATTAAGAGTGTAGCTATCAATAATGTACTGACATGAGATTTAGTAACTTTTATGAGATTTAATGTCATTGATCAAGAAATGTTTACCCCAGGTTGTGTTGGATCTAATCTTTCCCTCACCTTTGCCATTTTGCCGCTTCTCTGGTGTGACTGAAGCTTGTAACTAATTTGCTGTCTTATATTCATTGTTCCTTTACGCCTTTTTGAGTCTCCACATAAAAGACAGTAAAAGATAATAATGAGCCTAAAGCACGTCTTCAGCAGACACAACACAGGCTTCTATGGAATATGCTTCTTGTTTGAGACACCTGAGACTCTGTCCGGCCTGGGGACAGTAAAACTGACAGCTGCTGGACACACACACACACACACAAATAAATAAATAAAAATGTGTACCAAAAGAATACAGACAGTGCAGTGTATAAAATATAGGAGATATCTTAATAGCAAAAGTAGTAGTCAGAGAAAACATAATGAATGCTGTTATCTAACCACTGATTATGTGATCATATTGCTCTGTCACTCTACAGTAATTGCCCACTCCCTGTGTTGGGATTCAACTTCATATGCCGATGCCCATTAGACCAAATGGGACTGCGATGCAAGCTGGACTGACCCTGAGCTGCTTTAAAACGCCATGTTCTGCCCACCCACCATCTGTCCTCAGTGAATGCCCAGCCTTGGGCACAAATCTGGAATTGATATGGAAAGTACATCTCCATCATCAGCAGTGGTCAGATAGCTTGAGCTTAACACCCCTTCCAGTAGTATTTATCTCCTTGAACGCACAGTTACATGTTTGAAACCTGAACAAAATTGCTTTGATTATCGGTATATTAAAGGAATTGTTCATACAAAAATTAAAATTTGCTAAAATTTTACTTACCCAAGATGTAGTTTGTTTCTTCATCAGAACAGATATGGAGAAATTTAGCATTGCATCACTTTCTCACCAACGGATCTTCTGCGGTGAATGGGTGCCGTCAGAACAAGAGTTCAGTAACAAACTCATCTACATCTTGGATGGCCTGAGGGTGAGTAAATTTTCAGCAAATTTGTATTTGTGGGTGATTGCTTTAATACACTATGATTGCAAGAATTACAATCTGTGGGCACTCAGTATTTCAGATCAATATATAAGATTTCTATGTTGACATCTTAAGGCCCTAAAGGGTTTAGCTCCTGCCTACCTAACTAGTCTTCTATCACGCTACAATCCATCCTGCTCCCTAAGGTCGCAAAACTCAGGACTCTTGGTAGTTCCTAGGATAGCAAAGTCCACTAAAGGAGGTAGAGCTTTTTCAAATTTGGCTCCCAAACTCTGGAATAGCCTTCCTGATAATGTTTGGGGTTCAGACACACTCTCTCTGTTTAAATCTAGATTAAAGACACATCTCTTTAGCCAAGCATTCACATAATGTATCTCATAACCTTGTACTTCAGTTGCATCTGATCAAATGCACATAATATTTCTTTTGCTTGGGTTGAACAACTTTTTTTTTTGTTGCTTAGTT